TTCTGGGGTAACTGGACTCCCTCTCAGAACTCTCCCTATTGGACCCCATCAGTATCTGCTCTCTTGACTTTAGATTGAATTCATCCTGACAGGTGCCAGACAGCCAGGCCACTGCCACTTGCCTTAGTTACCTGTGCCCCCCCTCCCCTCGGCCCTGTTGTCCTCACTGCCCATCCCCCAAGTGTAACCTTGTATGTGTCTTCCCTTCCTTGCACCTCGTCTGACGCAGGACCCGAGGTTCTGGTCTCCCTTCTAGTTTAGGGTGCTGCTATGGTTCAGTTGTTTGTGTCCCTCCAGACTATATGCTGAAACCTGATCCTCAGTGCTCAAGGAGTTTCAGGCTTTTAGGAAATGATTAGGTTGTGAGAGCCCCCACCCTTATGAATGGTATTAATGCCCTCATTCAGGGCCCTTCCCCCTTTCTGCCATGCGAGGCCTAGCAAGAGGGGCTGGGGCTGGTGGTGTAGCTCAGTGGTGTGGTGCTTGCCTAGTGTACCTGAGGCCCTGGTTTGATCTCCGGCACACACTTGCATGCTCACATGTGCATACACACACACACACACACACACACACACACACACACACAGAGTCATCTAAGAAGCAGAGAGAAAGCCTTCACCAGACACCAACTCTGCTAACATCCTGACCTTGGACTTCTCAGCTTCCATGACTATGGGAAATAAATTTCTGTTGTTTACGCTGCCCAGTCTCAGGTATTTTGTTATAGCAGCTGGAGAGGACTAAGACAGACCTCCAGGGCAGGGTGGCCATGAGAACATGAGTGTGTGTACGTGAGCAAGTGGGCAGGCATGGGCGCTTACTTGGCACCACACACCCAGGACCCGGGGGACACCACTTACACAGTACCGTGGTCCTGTCCTGCCACCCAAGTGGGAAACTGACATTGAGAAGAAAAACCAAGTGGCCAGGAAGCCGCTTCCCTCCGGGCCCAGTGAACGGGGGCTCTGGATGTCGTTACTGTAGAATCACCTGCACAAGACACCAGAGGGCCCAGGGACATGGGGCTCGAAAGAACTTGAAAGGAAGCCACACAAACAAGACACTCAACGATCCATTCAGACCCTGTGTCATCTGCTTCCGGAAAGGCGGCTGGAGGAATGGCGTGGGCCTTCGGAAGGTAGGTAGTCTGACTGGGGGTAAAGGAAGCCATCGGGGGCCGGAAGGCTGACAGTCTGGATGGAGTCACCAAGCATGGCAGAGAAGCATTTCCAACGTTGGCAGCAAAGCCAGTGTCAGCTGTGTGGCTGAGACCGGTTACCTAACCTCTCTAGGCTTCAGATTCTTTGTCCGTAAGACGAAGACATTGCAATCTCTTTCCTCTTTGGCTTCTGTGATTCTAAACTTGGGAATGAATATGTGTGGAGCGCCCAACTTGGAAAGGAAGAAGGAATTTCAGGGCTGAAGATCCAGATTCTTCCAAGAGAGATAAAGAGGGTAACTGTGGTGCCAGCAAGGCCAGCAGTTCCTCAAAGCACTTAGAATCTGGGGTCGACCTCTGTGCAGAGCAGCAATGCAGCCCTGGGGCCGAGGGAAGGCGGGGATGGTCCAGAAAGCAGCGATGCCTGAATTGCCACAAGCAAGTCTCTGCCCAAGAGCCAGCTTGCACAGCCCGAAGACGATGGGCTGAAACTCTAAGTCATCAGACAGTGGCCAAGCAATTCCTTTTTTTTTTTTAATTTTTGAGACAAGGTCTTGGTATGTATCCCAGGCTGGCCTCAAACTTTCGGCGATCCTCCTGCCTCAGCCTTCCAGAGTGCTAGGACTAGGGGCCGGGCATATAGCTCAGTGGCATAGGCGCCTGCCTGGCAAGTGCAAGGTCCTGAATTCGATTCCTGGCACCAAAAAAGAAAACAGAGCGCTAGGATTATAGGAATGTGCCATTATGCCTGGTGAGCTGTCAACTGACAGGAAATATGTGTCAGAAAATCTGCACATGTCTGTGTCCGATGCTTTGGCAAGGAATGAGTGGGACTGGAGGGTCTTTGTTCCTTAGTAAAGTTTCTTAGTAAAATTCCTAGCTTCAGAAGCCTTCGCATCACTTCAACTATTAGGATGTCTAAGGGACCAGGGCGCCCCTAACGGCAGAAACTGGTGGTTGGCAGAGGCGCTGCCTCCTCAAGATTTGCTGGTGAGCTGGGGACAGTGTGAAGCCATGGAGTGGGACAGTGGGGGATCCGCAGCGTGGCGGAGACAGCCCCTCCCCCATCTGGGCTCAGGGCAAGGTGGAATGGGCCCAGCAACCAGGGAGCAGAGCGCTGCCCTGATGGTCACCTCAAGGGGAGAAGACTAGAGTTCTGGAGCAGCCAAAACCGGCGGACAGAGGCAGAGAGGGCAGCGGGGAGAGAAGATACCCCTTTCTATGGGCGTGCCTTGGCCCGGGACCAGGCAAAGGGGGGCAGATTTCCTGTCTTGTCCCAAGCCCCTGCATCTGCTACCTTGTTTACCTCGTGTCTATTTATAGTCGTGGGCACCAAGCCTGGCATGGGCCTCTGCGATTTATATGACTATAAACCTCCAAAGGGCACTGAGAGCTGGCAGAGGGATCAAGACAGAGGTACCTCCCAAGGTCAACATCCACCCTCCCACCTCTGCGACTTCACATCCGAAGGGCAGAAGGTCACAGGGCCAGACCCAGGCAAACGAGAGACAGGTGAGCGGCCACGAGCTACTCCTTGACCCTTCCTATCCTGAGTTTGTCAGGGTAGGGTTTGGAGGGACAGAGGGGACCCACTTTGGTCCCCCCAGCTGCGGGAGGGAGCAGGGAACCCCGGTGCAGGAGGGCAGATCTCACAGGGTGACTGACCTGGAAGGAACGCATGGGTCCAGCCTTCTGAGGGGAAGGAGGGAGCAGAGACAGGCAGCCCAGCTCTCATCTGGTCTGCCCCATCCACGTCCAAGCAGAAGGGAAGAGGGAGCAAACCCGGGGCTCCTGGGACCCGGCTTCCTGCAAGGGGTCTTTGGAGAGCTGAACGGACCTCTCACCCAGCACCAGGAGACCCAGTTGACCTGGGCGCCCACTCCACGGCCTCGCGCCAGGGCAGCGCCAGCACTTGTCCTGCCCCCAGAGGAAGCCGGGGCTCAGCCTCGGCCTCCATCGGCACCCCCCATCCCTGCCCTCCGCTCCCCAGTGCTCTCTCCCAGGGCTCCCTGGCCAGTGCCCCACTGGGCCACTCTCTCCAGCCTTCAGCCGACAGGGCAGCCTCCTGTGCACCGGTCCCCACTGCACGATGTGTCCCATGCACAGGAGCCTCGAGGTGTGCTAGCGTGTGCACACGCGTGTGCGTGTATGTGTGTGTGTGTGTGTGTGTGTGAATGTGTTGGGCAAGAGGATCAATCGGTATGAACACACAGGAAAAAGGACACCCAGAGTGACTTTCTTCCTGCCGGTTTTATCCGCCCCATTCTGGCCTGCTGGACGTAATCTGAGGACTTGGGCACTCAGGTACCCCTCACACAGCCAGAGTGGCCCTGGGCCTGCTTCCCACCACCACCTGGGGTTTCAGGCTTCTCGGAGCTGGACTAAACCTGGCAGGCAGGGGCAGAGCTGAGGCCAAGGGCTGCCCGGTTAAGATCAATGCTAGTCGAGGCATGGTTGTGCACACCTGTAATCCCAGCACTCAGGAGGCTGAGGCAGGAGGGTCACTGCGAGTTTCAGGCCAGGCTGGGCTACTCAGTAAGTTAAAAAAAAAAAGAAAAATCAACTCTTTACATGGGGAGGGCAGAAGAACTGGAGCCATTGTCCACTCCCTTCTGTTCGTGAGCTTGGACTTGGTCCTGAGTAAAGTCCTCAGGGAAAGGAGGCCCCAGGGATGGGATGATTCTCAGATCTACTCCTCTGCCAACCCAGGCTAACCCAGCTCTGAAGGTAGGGGTGCAAACTCTAAACTGTCAGTCTTTTCTTTGTCTGAGAAGGGAAAGCAGGGAATAGAGAGCATTCCAAAGCCAGGTAGTGGTGCACCCTTGTAATCCCAGCACTTGGGAGGCCAAGGCAGGAGGATCACTGCAAATTCAAGGCCAGCCTGGGCTGCATGGCAAGACATTGTCTCAAAAAAGCCCAAAGGGCCCGGGAGATAGCTCAGCAGCATAGTGTCTGCGTGGCAAGCGTGAGGTCGTGAGTTCGATTCCCGGTACCAGAAAAAAAAAAAAAATTGAGACAGGGTCGCACTATGTAGTTCAGTCTGGCCTTGAACTCACTATGTGGCCCAGGCTAGCCTTGAACTGGTAGTGATCCTCCCGCCTCAGCCACCTAAGCACTGGGGTTACAGGCATGGGCCATCATGCCTGGCCAAAAAAAAAATTTTTTTTAATTAAAAAAGCCTAGAGAACATTCCAGAATCCCCTTTGCTCACCTTATATTAGTGCCTTCTGCGGGGCGGGGGTGGGGGTATCAGGGAGACAGATCAGTTTGAAGATGGTGTCTGTGAAAGTTGGATTTCTGTCCGTTGGGCACGGTGGCACACACCTGTAGTCCCAACTGCTTGGGAGGCTGAGGCAGGAGGATCACTTGAGACCCACCTGGGTAACAGTGAGGCTTCTTCTCAACAAAGAATGCCAACATGACTAGGCAAAAGACGCCCAGGTTACTGGTAAAATACCACAGGGGTGTGCCCGTGAAGATGCTTCCAGAGGAGAGTAACCCTGGAAGCAGGGCGCCGAGAAGGAAGCTCTGCCCTCACCAGCGGGGCAGCAGACTTAGGGTGAATTGTTCTGCGGACGGGCTGTCTGCGTCGTCCCCTGCCTCGGCCTCCAGCTGGAACTGTCCCCCAGCTCACCGGGCCCTGGCCAGAGAGCGCTTGGGGCTCCCCCTTCCGCAGAGTGCGAGCCGCTCCTCCATCTCCGCCCCGCTGTACCCGCAGTGCTGCCCTCCCCGCCCCCTGTACCCCCGCGGCTCCCCCTCCCCGCCGGAGGCGGGTGACAGGCCCGCGAGTCCGGGAGACGCGCTGCGCGGGAGGCGGAGCTGCCTCTTGCCCTCCCCCAGAGGGGGGCAGCCGAGGGCCGCGCCGCCCCGGCCCTCCAGGCTCACTGCTCCGCGTGCGGGCGCCCGCAGCCCAAGCCGGGGCTGACGAAGGGAGGGGCTCACGCTGGCCGCGGGCCTGGACGCCAGCCTGGTCCTGATTTGCCCGCCCCTCCCTTCATCCCGCCAGAGGCTCCGCCCTTCTCGTGAGAGCTTGGGGACCCCCACCCCAATCTGCTTCCGTTCCCCAACTTCCTACCTCTCGCCCAGCGCGGTCACCCTGGGAGCCCCGGTCTGTCTGGGGAGCCGCCCCAGGCTGCCTGCTCTGTGCTCACCGCTAGGTGTTGTTCCTGGCGCTGCCCCTCCGGCAGAGGGAGGACAGGGCAGGCCCAGGGGCAGCGCCGGAGCCGCCTCGGGTCAGGCCAGCACTGGGGAGGCAGAGCTGACGCCTGCGGGGGCCTCGGAGGAGAGGGAAAACCAGCTTCTCAGTCCGGAAACAGCTTCCCCTGCCAGTGGGCACCTCTGTGGCCCCTCGCCCAGGCTGGAAGCTGGGGGTTGGTCTTGGGAAGACCATGGGCACATGGGGGAGCCGCGGAGGCCAGGGTGCAGTCAGGGGGACTAAGCCTCCCTGCTGGCAGCTCCAGGCTGGGAAACTGAAGGAGGCTGGGGCTCCGAGTTCGGCCGGGGATCTCGTCTAGAAGAAAGGTAAGAGTAGACACCTCCTCGGAGGCACACCCCACCCTCGCACTGAGCCCCCTTTTTTATATTGTTCTTTTGAGACAGGATCTCACTAAGTCCCTAGCTCGCCCAGGCTGGACTCAAACTTACAATCCTCCTGCCTCAGCCTCCCAGAGTCTGGGATTACAGGCCTGTACCACTGCACTGGCAAGGAGATCTTCTCCAGCCCTTCCTGAGCAGAACGGCAGAGAGAATGGTGGACCCAAGCCCTGGGGGTGGCGCTGAGAGCCCAGCAGAAGGGAGCCGGCCTTAGTACCAGGACAGTCTGGGGAGTGCCAGGCTGCCCCTTGTCTGTCACCCTGGACCTGCTGTTGGCTCCAAGGACGCTGGGGCTCGGAGGATCCAGGATCTGAGGCAGGCAGGTGCTTCCCAAACCACCCGACCTAGCGCCCATTTCACGGGTGGGGAAGGGAGCTGAGCGGGGGGGGAGGACGTCGGCTCTGGCACTGCCGTCTCAGGTCATCCACCAGCCTAGTTCTCAGGGCCCAGTCTGGCTCCACCCTGTGGCCTTCCAGGCTGACCGGCCTGCCTGGCTGCCCCACAGATTTGGGCCTGTTTGGACCCCTCCAGACGCCAGGTGGGAAAACCTCTCCCCTTTCCTATCCCAGACCCGGGCTTCTTAGGGGCTCCCTTTGCAACTTGAGATGTCACTGTCTTGCTATTAAGATGTCTTTCCCACTCTGCCTCTGCCTCTCCCTCCCTCCCTCCTCCCTGTCTTCGCCAGCCCTCCCCCGCCTCCCCCACCCTAGACAGCGCTCCAGAACTGCTGAGATGAATCTCCGGAGCTTCGTGGTTCTGGCCTGTGTTCCTGGTAATTGAGTTGTGCTCCCTGGTTGTGGTGGGGGAGGGGCGGTGGCTGCCTGTGGCCCTCCCCTGCCAGCTTGGCCCACCCCACTGTGCTGGGGCGGAGGGTGAGGAGGGGAGAGCGGGAGGCTTCCTCAGCCCGGCCCAGCCGCCATCGCCAGCTCGTCCCCCCCCCTCCCCCTCCCTGCTTCATCTCTGGCACAAATCACATGGTGACAGCCCCATCCAACCTTTGGGGAAGGGTTTGTAAATGTGTCTTCCTTAGCTCTGATCTCCAAATTGTTCCTTTTATTGCATTTGTCACGGTGAAGATTAAAGTCCCTGGGTGGCCTGCACCACAAATCACAGAGTCTGCTCTGGGAGAGCTGCAGGTTGGGAGCCAACAGCGGGGCCGGGGCCCTGTTACACAGGCACACTCCCCGAGCGGTGTGGGCGTGGACGCCATACTGGAAGATGTTCCTCGGTGTTGTCCCACGGAGGTGCTGGCCCCCTCTCCAGGCAGCGTGTGGCCCTGTCCTCCACGTGGTCTTCCAGGAGCCCTGTGCCCACTTTGTAGTGGGCTGCACTGCAGACTGGCTCTGTTGGTCCTTGTGTCTTCCATCTGGCAGGAGGGCGAGCTGTGTTCGCACGGGAGGTATCTCAAATGTCGCTCCTCTCTGCCACGTTGACCTCTAGGTCTTACCCCGGCAGCAGTCTTATGGGTCAAGGGCAGCTCGGGCAGAGCTCCCAGAGCGTCCACGCTCAGCCCAGGAGCACAGCTGACCTTTCCCTGCCCCCTTCCCACAGCCTGACTTCCATTCTCATCTGGGACACAACTGGGTACAGAGTGGGCACAGCTGGGCCAGAAGAGACACAGCTGAGGAACCAGGAGGACAAAAGCTCGCTTGTACACAGGCCCTGAGAAGCAGCCCCTTCCCTACCCTGGCGAGGTGGGCTTCCTGCCCGCCCCTCATGCACATTCATAACATTCAAATTTATGCCGTAATCTCCGCCGCTCCATATGTATGAGCCTTTGACGGGTGTTTGGGTGTATGGGATGCACCCGGCCCTCCTTCCCTCACCCGCCCACCGCCTCCAACCGCTGCAAAGATGCTTGTACATAATTGACATCGGCAGATTCTTTCATTATACAAGATTTAGCATCTGCTCGGGGATGCTTGCTCCTCACTCACTGTAGATGACTTTCCCCGCGTTTCCTATTATCAATTCAAATTAGCCCCATTTCCCCACCCGACCAGCGCAGCATCTACACTCGACAGTGAGGAAACAGCAAGGCTGTAATGGGCTCCTCAATTATTTAGGCCCAGTTAGACCAGGGCCTAGGAGGCCTCAACAGGGGTGTGCTGGGGTGGGGTCCTGCAGGAGGAACAGGGCAGTGGCTCCTGGGATAGACCCCCACCCCTCACATCCGGGTGTCTAAAGGCTGAGCAGCCCCCTCCCCAGATTTGCTGGACAGGAGCCCCCAATGGGATGCTAGCAATAAACCAAAGTAGCCATGACTGGTAGCAGCTGGGCCTCCCCTAAGATGTCTCTCCACGGTAGGGGGGTCCCCATGAAGGTGTGAGGGCGGCCCCAGATCCCAGAGACCGGCGAAAGGGATGGAAATCAAGTGCCTGACCCCAGGAAAGCAAGAGACCTCGAGCTGGAGAGATGCTGGAGAGCCCAGGGCCTTAGGGACGAAGCAGGGCCTTGGGAGAGGAGGCCCCAAGCCGAGGGCCCTGGGGGAGCTCCTTCCTGCAGCCACAGGGCCCTGCGGGCTGCACAGAGCTGTAACTAGGTCAGCGCTGCCTCCCTGCTGCTCTGACTCCGCCAGGCCCAGCCTCCTGCAATAACTCTTGGGCCCAGTGGCTAGTCGGGGATCTTGGCCTCTCCTGAGCCCTCTAAATGCCCCAGTACAAGGGCACAAACTCCAAGCCAGCCCTGAGATTCCAAACCCGGATCCTCTGGAGCCAGCTCAGCTCCTCCCAGCCCTGCGCTCCGCCCATGGCCACGCCTCGCGCTCCTCCCCTCCGCGTTGCTCTCCTCTCCAGGGCTGTGCCGGGGGAGCAGGCGGGCAGGGGTCGGGGGCTCTGGGATTGGAAGAGCCTTTCCCATGTTCAGCCTCAGCAGAACCCACAAATTCCTCCACCTGATTGGATTTACCCTAAGTCGCAGGCATGTGGGACCTCCTTTCCCCCAGCAACAGCTGGAAACAGCCCTAAATATGATTAATTAACACTGTAAAAAGCCCCGACACAATTAAGATTCGTGTGTGTGTGTGTGTGTGTGTGCGCGCGCGCGCGCGCTGGGGGGCAAGGGAGCGGGCGAAGAGCGGATTGCCACCCACCCATAGGGCCCTCTAGGCGAGCAGATGACATTTCCGCAGACATCCCTTGGACATTCATCCTGGGCAGAGTCTCTCCCCGCCTCTGGCTTTCACAGATGAGCCTCCTCAGGGCCCAGCGCCCCGCCGTCCTCTGCTCTCTCTGATGGGGTGGGGGTGTTCTGGGGCAGGTGCCTTGTCTCTCTGTTCTCCACCACAAGCAGAATATTGTCTGCCAACCCTCATTTCCTCTTGGTAGGTCATTCTAGGGAGCTGAGCTGTGCACAGCGCTGTGTCCTGCTGCCCGGACACGGTCCCACGTGGGGCCTGAGAGGACTCTGAGGGGTCTGAGGGTGAGCAGCCAGCCAGGCTCCCGTCCTCCGCACTGGCTCACTGTCAGCCGCAAAGACTCGTATCTCGGGGGGAAAACAGATGTCCCTGGACTCAACTCTGTCCCTGGAAGAGAGAGGGTAAAACTGTATTTGGTGGCCGTCTCCTGCCTCGTAGCCCACCTCTGTGAGGTGGGGACGAATTCCCTGAGGTGCAGCACCCGGGCTTGGACAGTCGTGAACAGGCAGGGCCGGAGCACAGACAAGAAGCATCCAAAGACCAGTTCTCAAAATCGTTGAAAGCTGGCACTTAGGGAAGCTGAGGGAGGAGGATTGTAAGCTGGAGTCCCTCTCTCAAAATAAAAAACAAAATGAAAGGGCTTGGAATGTAGTACAGTGGTAGAGCACCGCTGGGCTCAATCTCCAGTACCATGAGAAACAAACACCTTGTGTGTGTGTGTGTGTGTGTGTGTGTGTGTCTTTTTGAGACAGGGTCTCACTATGCAGTTCAGGCTGGCCTTGAGCTCACTCTGTAGCCAGGCTGGTCTTGAACTCTCAACGATCCTCCTGCCTCAGCCTCCCGAATGCTGGGGATTACAGGCATGTGCCACCATGCCCAGCTAGAAACAAACATCTTAAAAGCAGGGAATTTTATTTTCTTTTATGTATTGCATTGCCTGACCTATAGCTCCATTGCTGAAATGATTCAGCCCAGGAAGAGGTCTCCTCGATTCTAGCACTAGCGGCCAAAGATGGAATGAGCGAGAAGGAATATGGCACAGCCCCCGTGGGATCCTTCTGGGGTCCCTGGCTTGAGTGCTGGGGGATTCCGCTTCGTGGCCTGGCCCGTGAGGAGGAAACAGAAAGTGTGAGGACACGGGGTGATCACTGGGAGGTCTTCACACGTCCTGATGGAATTCCTAACAAGTGTGGGCTTGAATGTCGGAGATCAGAACCGCCCTTCCTGATACCAAGCCAAGGGAGTGTGTGGACAGACGTGACCCTCAGGAAGACAGCCGGCCGTGCCTGGAGGCGGAGGGGTGGTGGCGATGAACTAAGATTCTAGGAGCTTTTGTGGGTTTTCTGAATTCTTAGCTGAAGGCTGAGGAGAGGAGCTGAGCATGAAGGCTCCGGAGTAAAAGGCGGGTCTTAGAGAGAGAGAGAAGCAACCCTCCTCCCCAGAAGCTTGGAGCAGGAAGACAGGTCCTGAGGCCTCGGTGCACGTGTGGTGGCTCCACCCACACCCTGCGCCTCTGTTCCTGCCGCCAGGGCTCCACACGCCCAGCATCAGGCAGAGCGTACACGGTAGGATGGCGTGGGCAGTAGACGTGGGTGTATAGCTGAGCGCAGAGGTAGCCAGGAAGGCTGCGAGTGTCCCGTGCTTTTCCTAGGCCCTCTGCCCCGTGGGGTCTGGCCCTGCTGTACACAGAGGGGCTCCCTGCACCTGCATGGGTCAGCAGGACCCTGCACGTGGAATGTCTCTTCTCTGCATCAAGTCTGGGTGATCTTGTGGCAAGGGACAGGTGCGTCAACAGAAAGAACAGGACACTAGGAAGCTGACCATGGACCCAAGTGGGCCCACCAGGGTCTTTGGTCTGCTGATCAGAGTGTGGGAAACAAACACGAGATCCGTATCTTTGGGAGATGCTTGCACTTCTGAAATGCAGCCACAGACCCTGCTGCTTCCCAGTATGGTTCACGTGTGTGTACCCTGCCTGGCAGAGTAGGAGCCACGCCCCTCGACTGGGGATTTGCCCCCAAATTAGCTCCTGAATCATAGGTCGGTAGGTCAGACACGAGTGCCTGCACCCCAGCTGACTGCAGAACTATAGCACACCCTGCCCCTTCCTTTCCTGCAGTGGGTCTGAACTGAGGCAGAGGCGGGAGGGCTGGAGGGGGAACAGCCGCAGGGACCTGTGTCACACTTTTAAAGTGCTATGCCGTGGCCGTGAGCCTCTGCCAGAGGCTGGAGAGCTGGGCCTGACCCACCACAGGGTAGCTGTCGGGCAGACAGCCGCTCAGACAGCTCCCTGTGCGGCCACGGAGGCAGGCAGGGCCCCTCCCTTTGTGGTATCAAATCACCTCTCTCTACAAGGCAGCTTGGAGGCCAAAGGAGTGATAGGTTCTGTGTTGCTCTGGAAGTTCTGGGGAGGTGGCTGGGAATGTATGGGGCTTGGTTTGGGGCCGGGGTTAGGCTTATTCTTAGTGGCTGCTTCACTCTTCACCCTTGCTGGGTCAGGCCTCCATTGGAGGGCCCATGGGGTTTCCCACTCGGGTAGCAGCTGTCAGGGTAGTAGGAACCTTTTATGTGACACCCAGGAAGCAGAGAATAGAGATAGGAAGAAAGGGTGACCAAGGGGAACGTAAGAGAGTGATATTTATTAAATTCTTGTTTTGTGTCTCACAATGGACTGAGTGTTTTCTTTTCCCCCTAGCGCAGCAGAAGCCAGAGCCTCACAAAGAGAGGGTGTCAGTACTGTTATCTACTGTTACACAGATAGGACATGGAGGCTCTGGGAGGTGAAAAGCTGGGTCAAAGCCATGTAGCTGTTAAGTGGGGAACCTGGCTCTTTCCACTCGGCAGCACTGCTTCCTCAGGAAATTAAAACAAAACCAGAGGTCAGCCTGGAGTGGTGGCACACACCTGTGATCCCAGTACCCTAGGAGGCTGCCCGCCCAGCCTGGGCAATTTAGCAATACTATGTTTTAAAATAAAATATAAGGGCTGGGGAAGTAACTCAGTGCAAAAGTCCTCAGTTCAGCCAGGCATGGTGGTGCATGCCTATAATCCCAGGAGGCTGAAGCAGGAAGACTCAGATGAGATTGAGGACAGACTAGCAAGGTCAAGGCCAGTCTGAATTACATAGTGAGACCTTGTCTCAAAAAAAAAAAAAAAAAAAAAAAAAAGTGCTGGATTGAATCCCCAGTATAGCAAAAGAAACAAACAAAAACACTGTAAAACAGATTATTGTGCAGGGTAGCCAGATCTAGCAGATAAAAATACAGGATTCCCAGTTAAAGTTGAACTTCAGATAGATAAGGAAGTTTTTTCTAAAGAACATAAGTATATCTCAGACATTGCATAGGATATACTTATACTGAGAATTTACTTGTTTATCTGAAACTCAAGTTTCAGGCAGTAGTCCTGTGTTTTGCCTAGAGCATCTAGGTTGAAGTCACAGCTAGGGCCCGCCAGCCCCCCCTCCCCAAGGAAGACAGGAATGAAACAGGCTTTGGGTAGAAAGAAGGGCCCCATGAGATGCTCCGGCTGTCCCTCAGCTCCTCTCTGCCTTCCTAAGTGGAGCCAGGCCAGGGGTCTGGCCTGCTCTGCTCCTGCCCGGTTCTGCCCTGGGGATGTCAGAGGTCACACCAACACCCCAGTGGGTACCGACTAATCTTTGTCACCTGGTGGGGATCTCCAAAACTGTGATTAAGATTAAGGGGGAAGCGGCTGGGGATTTAACTCAGTGGCACAGAACCTGCCCGGCAAGTGCAAGGTCATGAGTTCGATCCCTGGTACCGGGCGGTGGTGGTGGTGGTGGGGGGACAAAAACATTAAGGGGGAAGAGCCAGGCATGGTGGTGCACTCCTGTAACTCCAGCACTTGGGAGGCTGAGGCAGGCGGATTGTTGCGAGTTTGAGACCAGCCTGGGCTACAAAGTGAGCTCAAGGCCAGCCTGAACTGCATAACAAGACCCTGTCTCAAAAAAACAAGAAACAAAAAACAAAAAACAGAACAAGATTAAGGGGGAAATCAAGAAATTAGAATCGCAGAGACGGTACTAAGCACTGATCATAGAATAAAATGAAAAGACCCAACCTTTCTGGTAAGGTGTGGCTCTCACGAATTCACGGTGTGGTGGGGCTGGACAGCCCATTGAAGGCCGTGGATTTTAGGTCTGGTCCACCCCTGCCTGTGGGGCTCCAGGGCCTCCTCTTTCCCTTCTTTCCAACCCTGGCCAGATCTGCAAAGGGAGGGTACAGTGCCTGGCCACTCAGTCCCCGAACTCTGCCTCCCCGCCTCCAGGCCACCGCCTTGGTGTCCCTCTGGCTCCCGCCTCGGTGGCAGCTGAGCTTGCTGGGCTCCAGTGCCTGCTCCAGCACCCGCTCAGGCACTGCTCCCGCTGGGCTCCGGTCCCCGCTCCCGCCCAGCTTGCTGGCTCGCTCCGGGCATCTCCCTACTGAAGAATTATGTTGCATAAAGCACCCGCCACCATCTTGAACTGGCAGTGAACTTTGCTTTCTACATATAAATACAGATAGCAATCACACCCCAATCAGTGCCGAGGCTGCAGGGCATCATCTCAGCAACTCTAACTTTCCCATTACGATAATGTGATTTTCGCTCAGTCTATAATATCACCAGCCATGAATAAAGCAACTGGCTCTCTCTGTCTCTCTGCGCCCTCCGCCTCCCTCTCTCCCACCCTCCTCTGCTGTCTCCTTTCTTCCCCGCTCTGGCTCTCTCTGCAACCCCTCCTGGTAACTGTCTCCATCTCAGCATCTGCAGCCCTGAGCACCCAACCTCCCTCTCCCAGTCCTCCGCGCTCCCTCAGCCTCTGGGACTCACGTTCCCTAAACGCTATGGCGGGATTTGCTCTGCCATCATCTGCCT